AAACAGTGCTAATGCAAGAGAATAGGGAAACACCTACAGTGGTAAATAGCCTGCCTCTGGTTGCTTATTTCTAGAAATGGTTCTTGGTACTGCCAGCTCTAGAACTGTTGTATTCAGCAGTGGTCCCCATTGTCCCTACAAGATTCTTTGACATAGAGTATGCTTTGTCTGATATTAATAATAGTCATATTTGATAGCAGACTTATTTGATCCATAGGCTTTCCTCCTCCCTGCACCCCCCCGCACCCGTATCATTTATGATCTTCTAAGCTGCCATTTTTAAAATGCAATGCAAAATGATTAACCAATAAGGGGTTGGATTGCCTCACATAACAAAAAGTCTAGAGGCAAGAAAGCTATATCCAACCCAATGACATTGAGACCCCAGATTCCTTTCATCTTTTTGGTCTGCTTATGGCTGCCTTTTGGTTGGAAAATTACTGCAGCAGCTCCAGTCATCTTATCCTGATATGAACCAATGTCCAGAAATGGAATAGGGTCATTTCTCCCTAGTATGTCTCACTTTCAGAGCCAAGAAACCTTTCCTAAAGGCCTCCAGAAGACTTTTCCTCACACCTTATTGGCCAGAACTGGGTCACATGCTTACCTCTAAATTCATCACAGGCAAGGGAAATGAGACCACTGTAATTGGAATGAGCCAAACTAGGATTTACCTGAGTTATGTGGTGGAGGGATGGTCACTAAGATACATTTGGGGCTTGGCTATTATGAAACGGGGAAATCGCCATTACGTAGGCAAATACTAGTTCAGGACAATTGCCGACATTTGCAAATTGGGAGATTTCATATAAAAACTCAGATTTCTACCTTTGCTTTTTTCATTTAAAAAAATTTTCAATTATGTTAATCATAGCATAAAATTTACCACTCTAAACATTTTTCAGTGTACAGTTCAGTAGTGTTAATTATATTCCCATTGTCATGCAATGAATCCCCAGAACTTTTCATCTTGCAAAACTGAAACTCTGTACTCATTAAACAAAGCGCCTCTCACTCCTTCCCCCAGCTCCTGGCTACCATTAGTCTACTTTCTGTCTCTATGTATTTGACTAGGTACCTCATATAAGTGGAATCATACAGTATTTGTCTTTTTGTGACTGGCTTATTTCACTTAACAAAATGTCTTCAAAGTGCATCCATGTTGTAGCACGTGTTAGAGTTTCCTTCCCTTTTTAAAACAATAATAAACAATTGTATGTATAGACCACATTTTTGTTTATCCATTTATCCATCAGTGGACACTTAAATTGCTCCTACATCTTGGCTATTGTGAATAACGCTGCTATGAACATGGGTATACAAATATCTCTTGGAAACCTTGGTTTCAATTTTTTTTGCATTCTTTTGAGGGGTGATAAAAAAAAATATGATGAATGCTGCTGTCCAGTGCCATCCAATGGAAAGGCAGGGATCTTCAATACAGGAAGTGGTGCGTTGAACCTTAGTAACAGAGTGTGACAAATTTCAACTTGTTTGGTGCTGTCAGTCAGGTGTGAGCTACGGTTGAGAGAAGATGTGTTTTAAAGTGTGCCGTAAATCCTCCTCCATCATGATAATGCCCCGTGCCACACATCTCTTCTGGTATATGGCAATTTCTGTCAAGAACATTACAGTGTGTCTTCATCCACCTTATTCACCAGATCTGGCACCGTGTGACTTCTGGCTCTTCCCCAAAGTCAAAATTATTCTGGACATCGAGGCAGCCATGATAGTGCAATTAAAGACACTCCCGAAAGAGGACTTCCAGAACTGCTTCAGAAAGTGGTAAGAACCATGGGATAAGTGTGTTTGAAGTGAGGGCAAGTATTTTGGAGGGGATTAATGGCAATGTGTCTTTTACTGTAATAAGTTTTTAAAATGTAAACATTCACTGTATTTTTTTTACCACACTTCATATANCCCTTCAGAAGTGGGAGGGACTGTCTTGACAACATCCTGTAACCCCAATTCGCACACTTTTACATTTTCTCTTCTCCCACTTCAGGCCTCCTGGGCCGGCCTTGATGAAGAAGGCAGCCTCTATACTATAGGTCTACAGGTTCCCAGAGTCATACAGCTGGGGATCCTGAGGCGACACCAGCAAGCTGGCAGCAGGAAAAGGGGCGGGTCTGCGCACACTCAGCTCTAGCAGGCTGGAGTGTGTGTGTGTGTGGGGGGGAACAGCGGGGTCAGGGGTGCTGGGTTCCAATCTGGCTCTCCCACCACGTGCGCGCTGGGCCACCTCCCTCACACTGCCGCGCTTACCCGAAAGTCGTGGGCAGTGTCCTTCACTGGCTGCACGCGGTGCCCCTGATGCCGGGAGTCGGCCTGACACGAGCAGCACAGCAGCTCCTTGTCGTCGAGGCAGAAAAGGCTGAACTGGTCGCGATGCAGGCGGCAGAGGTGCGGGGAGCGGTGGCCGGTCCAGCGCGCGCCTTCGGCCTCCTCGCGCAGCAGCTTCTCCACCAGGTTGTTGAGGGTGTGGTTGGTGCGCAGGTCGGTGGGGACCGCGCGGTCCTTACACACCGGGCAGGCGGGCGCCACTTGCATCTCCCAGCTGCGAGTCACGCACGCGCGGCAGAAGTTGTGGCCGCAGCGCAGAGTCACGGCGTCGCTGAAGGGGTCGTAGCAGACGGCGCAGAGCAGCTCCTCCTTGAAGGAGTCGGAAGGGCCGGGGGACAAAGTGGGGCTCGGCTCCATGGTACCCGCCGCCAGCTCTGGAGCCCGCAACTTTCGCTCCGGCCGCTCCTGCCCGCCTCACGGCGCTCAGCCACTTCCTCTCCGAGCGCGGAACGACAGCGGCGCAGGCCAGTCGCGCAGGGCGCGCTCGGGAGGCTCCGGCCACTTCCGGTTCGCGCGCAAAACCCCGGGAGATCAGGGCGGGGCCCTGTGCTCAGTGGTCCCCTGCGGCCCGGGGCTGGCCAGGCGGGTTTAGCGAGGAAGAAACTCCTTGTCCCTGCTGGAGGGCTTCCGTGTCACGGGAAACCTACTTCCGATTTAAAATGGGAAATGGAGACTAGGAGCCTTTTCCTTAACCAATCCCCGGAACTATCAGGCCCGCGAGGTAGGAGAAGCGAGAGCGCCCCACTTCCCGGTTCCGAAGTGGAATCTGGGCCTTACAGCGCCGTTAGTGTCTTCACCACTTAGGATTTATAGTCCCCTTTCACAGATCTGCGCCCACTCTTGCATTAGGTGTTTACTTAATTTTGGCTTTCTATTCCTGCCCCGTGGAGGAGGAAGGAAACGGGTGAGGGAAGACCCGATTCTTATCCCGTGTTTGAATAAGTGGGCAAGTCACAATTTTTCCTCTATTTCCTCGTCAGTAAAAGGACAACAGTACCTCTTGGCTCCATGAGATGTGAGGGTTGAAGTGAAATATGGGAAGTGCTCATGACATTAGGCAGGTCCTCATTAAAACAGAGATTAGGGAGTTCTGCAAAGTTTAGCCAGGAGACTAGATTCTAATCCTGGCTGAATTCCTGCCTAGTATAACAGGCCTGAATCTCTCCAACTCCCTACTCCTGCCTCAGTTTGATCACTTTACAGCATTCACTTTCAGGATTCCTTTCCTCTGACACACTTTCATTTCTGGTTTCTGTTGGAAGACGATTTCCACGTTTCGTGTTTCTGTACCGAGCGGAGACATTGACTGCCTTTTTTGGACTATCTTTCCAAGGATGTTTCTATGGTAAACAGCCTTGAAAGGCAGAAATAACGTCTCTCTCCAGAAAAAAGGTCTGGCAATCTTACTCTCCATGATAAAAGATTCGGGTTCCCTCAGCTTCAGGTCTTTAAGCTCTGCTATAGTGCAGCCTCCCGTGGCCTTCATCACATGGGCATGAGGGGACTTAAGTCTCAGAAAACTGACCCAAATCATGATAATCTGACTATAAACTGTCCTTTGTCTCTGACGTAGGAGTCTCATCTACCCACATTCATGAATCTGTGGCAGGCTAACTTGTTAGCTTGCAAGTCGGCTAAAATCTGACGCTTTATAATAGTTTTTGACAATTTCCTTCCAACCTTTCCCTCAGAATAGTCCTTTTCCCACAATGCCAAGGGGATGAATACCACTAATTCTTATTGCCTTCTGAAGTGTTTCTTATGTATGGTTCGTGGCCCTCCTATAATCAATCACCTGGGAGCTTTTTAAAAGCACAGATTCCTGGGCCCACTTCAGTCTACTCATCTATCTGGGAGACAGGCCCAGGAATCTGCATTTTCATATGTTCCCCAGGTGATTCTCGGGTACACTAAAATTTGAGACCCATTATTCTACATCTACTGAACGAGTAGGTCTCAGTGTGGTTACTGGTTCAAAAATTAACCTTAGAGGCAATCTCTGAAAAGGCCACAAGATGGGGCTAGTAACCCTACACTCCAGGCACTTCCCTGGAAAATCTTGTCTCTTGTCTCCTTTTCTTTCCATTGTGTTTTCTTATTTATGTGTCCCAGTTGTTCTGTGAATCTGTTTTGCTATCTATGTGTTTCATTCTATTCTTACAGGATTTTCCTTGTTTGTTTTGTTGTTGTTGTTTTCTCAGACTCTTTGGGTGGGGCCACAAATCAAATCAAGGGTGAAGAGTAGAAATTAAATGTATCTTTTTTTTCTTTTTTTAAAGTAGAATACAAAGATTAACCTTAAACCAGTAAGGTTGTCCAGTCTTTCTGGAAATCCTGAAAGGACTTGGTTGTATTCCAAGCTCCACCACTAGCTAGGGGCGTGACCTGGGCATGGTATTTCACTTTTCTGACTGCCTTTTCCTCAACTATAAAAGGAAAGATTAAACTAAATGCTCCAAGCTCTTACCAGTTCAGTTACTCTGAACTTATTTTTATTCTTTGCATAGTTTCAGTAAAGAGGATGACTAAGACACAGAGACCAGAAAGAGAAATCTTGGTGACTATAGCCAATCTGTCACCAATTTCTGTTTATTCTTTTAGTAGAAAGAACCTTCTTCAGAGGACCCTGCCTTTCAGGTCCTCTGTATACCAGCTAAACTACTGCAAAAGTCTAGTGGCAGTTCTCACTGTCTCTAATTTGCCCCATCTCATACCCCAGGTATCCTTGCTGGGCACTGCCACATTTCCAAACCCTCTGTTGTCTGTCACCATGTAAATTTGTGTAAGGAATGATAACTATTTTTTAAATGTGTTAGGAAAAAAAAATTCCTAGGTGCAGAAAAGACTGCTCTTTTTTTTTCTTTTTAAAGCACTTGACTAGAAAGTAGCTACTGCAAGTAAAAAAGAGATTGTTAAATTAAAAAAAAAAAAGCAAGACCCAACTGTATGCTGCATAAAAGGAACCCACTTTAAATATAAGCATCCAAATAAGTTAAAAGTAAAAGAAAAATATACACCATGCTAACATGAGTCAAAGAAAGCTGGGGTGGCCATACTGATATCAGACAAAGCAGGCTTCATATCACAGAATCTTGTAGGGGCAAGGAGGACCACTGCTGAATACAACAATTGCAGAACTGGCAGTAGCAAGAACCATTTTTAGAAATAGGCAACCAGAGTTGCAGACATAATTGAGCTTGTTCAGCAGAGTTACCAAGGAAATCACGGTAGTCTGATGCTTAATGTGGGACACAGTGATGGCTTGAGCCTTCTCTGAGGCCTAAAACATGGGCAATAGGTGGGGGAGGACCCTGTGTTGGTTTGCCTAATGCAGGGAGAACTTCCATTGTAAACAGTGCTAATGCAAGAGAATAGGGAAACACCTACAGTGGTAAATAGCCTGCCTCTGGTTGCTTATTTCTAGAAATGGTTCTTGGTACTGCCAGCTCTAGAACTGTTGTATTCAGCAGTGGTCCCCATTGTCCCTACAAGATTCTTTGACATAGAGTATGCTTTGTCTGATATTAATAATAGTCATATTTGATAGCAGACTTATTTGATCCATAGGCTTTCCTCCTCCCTGCACCCCCCCCCCCGCACCCGTATCATTTATGATCTTCTAAGCTGCCATTTTTAAAATGCAATGCAAAATGATTAACCAATAAGGGGTTGGATTGCCTCACATAACAAAAAGTCTAGAGGCAAGAAAGCTATATCCAACCCAATGACATTGAGACCCCAGATTCCTTTCATCTTTTTGGTCTGCTTATGGCTGCCTTTTGGTTGGAAAATTACTGCAGCAGCTCCAGTCATCTTATCCTGATAT